TTATAATGTGTCTGATAACACCTACCTCAAAAAAGTCTTTCAGGATTAAAGTACTTAGAATCATTCTAGAACATATAAATTATGATTCTTTAATCCGTAAATAGCGATTCAGTTAGCGCCAATTAGTCAGTTAATTTGGTTAATTTAGTCAGTACACATTTAGTGTTATTAAATGTAATTTATATCGATACTTTTAATAGTTTATTGTTATATTGATAAGACATTGTAATTCAGAGGAAGGAGATGGATGGAGGAGACAACAACAAGATAATGCTTAATATCCAAATAGTACAGCAAGGTAATGGTTTATATCCAGAGTTCTTTATTCAGGCCCATGTGCAGTCACTGGACCTGGACAGTCAAGTTCTGGGCACCAGTGATAACCGAAGAGTGAGGCTAGAGTCTCCAGGGTATAGGTCCACTTTTCAAGCTCCTACTGCATTTTCTTTGACACATTGAATGTTACTTCAAGCTCTCACTAGAGCAAGTGTCAATGATTTCTAATTTCCCACTGGATGTCTCTCTGAGTCTTATACATAATTGCACGATTAGGTGACAATGACACACTCACTTTCTGTAGGATGGTGGCAGAGAGGAGAAGCCTGGCCTGCTATCTCTCTGAGGGCAGAAGCACAGAGTGGACAGAGTCAAATGCCCCATATGTCAGACTTCCTCCTTCCTTGTGTAAAATATTGTTTCTGAACCTCAGTTTTCTTTGCTTTATAATGAGAGGTTTGTGATTTAATTATTTTCTTTTGGCTTTAGAGTTCTGATTCTCAAGGTTCAGAAACATCTTTGAATCCCAGGGTGTGTTGTTTGTGGTAGGAGCTGCTGAGTCTGAATCACAGTGACCTTATGGACAAAAGATTTGAAGCCTGTTCTGTCCTAAGCCATCCTTGTCAAATTTGCTGTGGTCATTGTGTCAGTCTGTCTCACTGCAGGTCTTCCTGTCTTTTGCTGATCTTTAATCTTTCCTAGCATGATTCTCCTTTCTAAGGAACAGCCTCCAATAACAGCTTGCCCAAAGCAGTGAGAGAGATTTGCTGTAATTCAGAAGACTTAATTTCTGGTCATATACCCATATGATAATGGACTGTGAAGGTACAGAATCACACGGATTTTTTTTTCCTTTTTAAAGAAGGAGATTATGCAATGAAGTTGGTGGGACGTTCTAAGAAGAGATCAATGTTCCTTCCTCACACAATGCCAGAATGACCAGCCTTCACACCTTACACTCCGAAGCCAGCTGCAAGGCTAGCCAGCCTCATAAATCTTTGTTCCCCTAGTACACACTACCCAGCCCCCCCACACACACACACACACTACCACCTATGAAGAACTGACATGTTTTGAAAAGTAACCAAAACAAATTCTTCAGGAGCCTAGGAAAAGACTAGAGCAATTATTTGCTATTCCTATTGTCAGACTGTTTGGCGTTAGCCAAGTTTCATATAGTTTCAAGTTTCATTTACATAAGAACACCCCTGATGTTTTACAGCGGTTTTCCTTGTTATAAAACTCTAGCAATCCTGACCTCCTTGGAAACATTGCTTCTTACACTCCATTGCATTTTACAAATGTCTCTTCTTTGGTTTCTAGCTGCCATTAGGCACAGCCCATTCCCTCCCCTCCCCCATGAGTTCATCAATTCTTTAGTCCTATTTCAAATCCCTCTGCTGGAATGAGAAATTATTATAATTCCTCCAAGGATCCAATCCCATATATAATCCATTAAAGTAAAATGAGTATGTCCGTGGAAGAGACAGGTTGAAACCCCTAAAGAATAGTATGGCTTGAAAAGACAAATAGGCAACAGAAATGGTTGAGCTATGAGGTGATAAGTCATACAAGCTGGAAATAAGTATTCAACCAATTGCTACTAATGCATTTTACTTGAAGCAATGTACACAATTGTGTCTACAGTAGTTATTAGCATTTATGGACTCAGCAACACATACTTATTGAGAACTTTGTTTAAATTTTTATTGCTATTAGGTGCCATCAAGTTGAGTATGACCCATAGTGACCTTATGAATAATAAATCTGAAGCCTGTCCTATCCTGTGCCATCCTCACACTTCCTGACACACAAAAGCCCACCGCAGCAGTCCCACATCAGTGTACTTGGTTGAGAATCTTCTCTCCTTCACTGACCCTCCACTGTTCTTAGCATCACGTCCTTCTCCAAGTAATAGTTTCTCCTAGCAACAAACCCAAAGTAAGAGAAGCAAAGCCTCATCATTCTTGCCTCCAAAGAGTACTCTGGCTGCAGCCTCTCCAACACACATCTGTTTGTTCTCTTGGCCGTCCATAGGATGTTCAGTGCTCTTCTCCAACACCATAGCTCAAAGGCATCAACTCTTCTTCTGTCATCCTTATTCATTGCCCAGGTCTCAGATGCAAAGCAAGTGATTAGAAAGAGGATGGCCTGAATCAGGTGCACCTTAGTCTTCAAACTGACTTCATTATTCCTCAATAATTTGGAGAGATCCCTCACTGCAGATTTTTTCCCAGTGCAATGTCTCCTTATTTCCTGATTGCTGGTACAAAGAGTGTTAACTGTGGGTCCAAGCAATATGATTGAGAATCTACTATGTGCCAAATATTGCACTAATAATATAATGCGTTAGAAATAGCTTAAATGAATCCTCTATTTCCGAGGAATTCTTACCAGTAGTTATCACATAGCAAACTAGACTGTGAGGTTTTAGAAATTAGAGACCTACTCAGTGACTGTTGAATTGTCAGTGCCCACAGGAAACACTGGTGATGCAGTCCACAGAAAATGGTATTGCTACCCAGAGGCTACAAACTCTGGTGGTTCAAATCCACAAGTCACTCTGTGGGGATAATCGGCAATGTCTTCCCATTCACTTTATACTCTTAGAAACCGGATGCAGGTTTAGGTATGAGTTATCCCAATTTGCTGACAATTAGAGAGAAAGAGTCGATTTTTTTGGAACAGAGAAGTAGCACAATGGAATGAGTTTGCCACAATACATAATGTCCTTAGCCATATGTTGTTGTTACCACTTTCCTAGAATATAAGCTTCTCATTGAAAAACCAGAAGATCAGAAGCTTTTATAGTTGTGTGTGTGTGTGTGTGTGTGTGTGTGTGTGTGTGTAGTGTGGTGTATACCACAGAGTAGGAGCTGACCCATAACTGACCCGCCAGTGGATCTTCAGAGGCAGTTAATCACATGGGAGGAGACTGGTCATCCTCCCCCATGGAGCAACTGGTGGCCTCAAACTACACGCTTTTGGGATTGTAGTGCAGCTTCTTGCCACTAAGTTACCAGAGCTCCATAGTTAATTATAGTTAATTCTGCAGTTTGTCTATTTGATATTTTCAACAATGTTTTACATGCATTCATACACATATAAATACCATTGTTCAGAATTTTCATTTCTTTTAGGTTATTTATTAAAAACCCTCCAAATTTTTATATTATACCATAAATATTATTTGACATAAGACATTCAAAACCAAAAATTTTACTCCTTGTTCTGTCATTTTTAAGGTAAGCTGAAAAAAAACTAAGGGAGGAAATAAAAGAAAATAGTGGAGGAAAACTACAGGTATAAAATATTTCAAGCTATTTAGTTTGGATTATTTCTGAACAGTTTTTATATGTATAGATGCAATTTTCTTCTACTACTCCTTTACTACTTATGCCAACAAAAAAGGGTCATCAAATCTGTGAAAATAAAAGCTTCCTAATCTTTCAAGAAACTATTGCAGAGTTGGAGTTGCTACACACCTTTGTTGATTGAAAACTTAAACGAATCCATTCATTTAGATGGAAGAGATTACCCATCTTTCCCTGGTAGGATAGCTGGTAGATTCAAACCATGTACCTTTACTTTGGCAGCACAATTGCTTATTACTAAGCCACCAGACCTGGCCACTTCTTTGACATGGATTGTTGTTGTTAGGGGCTGTTAAGTACAACTCATAGTGACCCAATGAACAAAAGAACTGAAACCTGTCTTATTTTGTACTGTCCTCACTATCTCTGACAGTCTTGTTCCCATTCTCAAATCACTGTGTCTATCATCTTGCCATGGGTCTTCTACTCTTCTGCTGACCATCAGCCTTTCCAAACATGACGTCCCTTTCCAAGGAATACCCTCTTTTAACAACTTGCCCAAAGTGTGAGAAATGAAGCTTCATCATCTTTTATGGGAAGCCAATACTATATGTTTGTAATAAACTGAATGCTATCTCAAGATGTGGGGAAGGCCCAGTTCAAGCTAGAATTCACCCTGAGGCACCAAGACAATCCTTAGCCGTTGGATTCTTGCATTGTATTGGCTGACCCATCCCTCCTCAGTCTGGAGGAAGGTTTTCAATAGAAAGAGTTTGGCTTCATTTGCATTGAATTCTGTTTGTGATTTACTTCCTGATAATTTTCAATAAAGATGCAGGGAAGCTGGAACAGGGGTCTTCAGTTGAGAACTGCTGGCGCCCTGTGTTTCATGCTCTCTGTTCTATCTCATTCCTGGCTATCTCATTATTAATAATTATAAAAATACTTTACCCTCGGTCTGCAACAATCTTTGCCTCCAAAGAGCATTGTAGCTGCATTTTTTCCAAGACATATCTGTTTGTTCTTTTGGCAGTCCATGAGATAGTCAGTACTCTTCTCCAACACCAGAATTCAAAGGCATAAATTATTTTTTAATCATCCTTATTCATTGTGTAGCCCTCAGATGTGTAGCAAGTAATTGAAATGACTATGACCTGAATCAGGAACACTTTGTCTTCAGACTGACATCATTGTTCGAGAGATCCTTAACAGCAGACTTGCCCAATACATCTCCTGATCACCTGACTGCATGTAGCAAGAGTTTTGATTGTTGACCTAACCAAAAATAGCCATATAACTTGATTTTGACTAGAAGGATAAATTTCTTAAATGTTGTCATGCTATTTTCTAGTAGGTCAATTATGTGGCTAGATTAAAGATACCAGAGAACTTTACGGAGTTGTGACTTACCTATAGTTTTGCTTTTCATTTCCTATATGGAATCTGTCATATTGTGAATAGGCTCGGTTTCCTTCCCAGTCCATGAGCTCAATTCTTAGCATGTATTGCCTTTGACTAGTTATGGCAAAAATAAACTCATTCCCCAACCAGTATTCACCAGAGGGATTTCCAAAACCCTGAGGAAAAAGACAGAAATGAATTCATTAGCTAAAAGGGAAATTCTTTGTGTTTAATATTTAATAATTTCAGAAATAATAACAAATTAGCAATAAAGACTTACTTTTATTTTTTATAATTTTATTTCAATCATTGACTTCTTTCAATATTTTTTCTGTGTTTCCTTCTGTTAACCATACGTCCAGTTCTTATTATAGTAAAATCTCTGGTAGTTGTTTATGTGATATTCTGAGATGAAATGAGTAATTAAAAAGTTCAAGGACTAAAATGTCTAAATTAGTATTTAGACTTTGAAAACATCTTTAACATACTGCTTAATAGAATATATTTAATATTATTTAAATATTTTTCTATTAATATCACCAGGATCAACATCCTGGTTGTTATGTGCTGTCAAGTTGCCTGCGACTCATAATGACCCTACGTATAATAGCTCAGAAGCCTTCCCTATCCTGAGCCAGTCTCACTGACTCTAACACACTTACCCTCTTTACCCTAGTTACTGAATCAATCCATCTCATCCAGAATTTTCCTCTCCTGCACTGAACCTCCACCCTTCCAAGCATGATGTCCTTCTCCAAGGATTGGTCCCTCTTGGCCACATGCCCAAAGTATGTGAGATGGAGCTTCAAATCCTAGTCTCTAAAGAGAATCTTGGTTTCACCCTCACGAAGACAGACTTAATTGTTCTTTTCGGTGGCCCATGTTATGTTCAAGACTCTTTTGCAGCACCACAACTCAAAGGCACCAATTCTGCTGTCATCCTTAGTCATTATCCAGCTCTCTGATACACAGCAAATAATTGTGAAGACCATGGCCTAGATCAGGAGCACCTTAGTCTCTAAATTGGCATTGTTGCTTCTCAGTACTCTGGAAAGGTCCCTGACAGCAACATAGTATCAGGCTATTAGTCAATAGTATTATAGTAACAACAATAACACGATTAGCAATTGTGTGGTTCATAGACAGTTAGTTGCCTTATTAACCCTAAGAACAAATTCAAATTCACCAGCAACTCAACAGAAGAAAGATAAACAATCTCCTCTTTCTAAGAAATTTACAGCCTCCCAAAAATCCGCTGGAGGGTCAGCTATGATTTAGTTCCTACCCAATGATAATGAGAGAGAATGTAGTAGTAGTAGAAGGAGGAGGAGACAGAAACGGAGGAGGAGGAGGAGGAGAAAGAATAACATTGCTGCTTCTACCCTTATTTAAGGGTAAAATTATACTAAAAACAATCACATACAGGTTACTGGAGTGTTGACTGGTTCAATCTAATCCTCGGCATACATTTGTTCTCACTGTCTAGACTATGAGCTTCTGGGTGTGAGTTATATGTGTGAATCCTCACACACTGATGTGTTGACACACGGTTCTCATAAACTGGTACAGTGAAGAAATGTTTCTTGAATTTGAAGAAAGGAAGGGAAGAGGTAGAGATATAAGAGGAAGGAAGAGAATGAAAACATTATAATTAAACGTTCACTGTCATCGAGCTGATTCTAGTTGACAGTAAACCTGTAAGTATGAGTAGAATTGCCTGTAGTGTAAGGAGGGCTGTAAATCTTTATGGAAATTGATGGCCATATATGTCTCCTATGAATCAGTCTGTGGCTTAATAGTTAACCACTTAACCACTGTGCCTCTAGTAATAGTAACAAATAGTAATAGTAATAAATAGTAATTGTAATTGTAATAGTAATAGAAGTTATGTGCTGTTGAGTCCAAACCAACTCATAGCTGACCCTCCAGAAGGTTTTCAGAGGCGATAATCACACTGGCAGAAATAACTCATCTTTCTTACAGCTGGTAGACTCAAACCACATGCATCTGAGTTGGCAGCTCAGTTCTTTACTCACTAGGCCACGTGGGCTCATTAGAGCTCCACAAATACTACAGCACTTTCCAAGAGCCGTGGCTCTCTGGAATGTCGATTCACCCGTCGATCCATGTGAAAATGAGAGGCAATCTCTTTCTGTGCAAGTTAAAGCCTGAGAAATCTACAGGAGAGTCAGCAATGAATTGGGTTTGACCAGATGGTAATAAGCTTTTGTTTAAATCACATCCAGAGAGTAGCTATGAACCATAATTCTTTTTATTGTAGGCAATTAGATTGAATCTAAGGGAAGTGATTTTGAAAGTATTCAACTGAATCAAACTCGCTAAAATTTGCTTGAAAACACATATTCCTGGTGCTGTCTTGAATTAAAATATCCACAAATAGTCCATGAACAAGTTCCCAATTTGCTTTGTGTATTTAATTATTTGTAATGACCATCTCTAGTATTTATAGAATAGATTTCACTCTGTAAGGAAGAAGACAATCTGCCTTTCTCATGATCTCTGTCACTCTCCAGCCCGTTGTAACTGTCCCTGTGTTAATCCATCTTCTTAAAGGCCATCTTCTCATTCACTGACCCTCCACTTTACCCACTATGAGGTCCTTTCCAAGGAGTGGCCTTCCTAACAACATATGCAAAGTAGGTGAGACAGAGTTCCGCCCTCCTTGCTTCTAGGGAGCACGCTAGCTGCACTTCGTCCAAGACTCTATGCCACTTCATTTCATGGGGATTTTTGGTGCGTGTTTGGGTATTGTTTGTTTGTTTTTAGTTAATATCCTTGATCCTGAATGCACCAAGCACACACACATACCCTTGAAGACTATCTACACAGAGTTTAGAGTAAAAATCTATGCTTCAATATTCCTAAGATGTTCAAACCACACCAAGCGTGGTAGGGAACGTGGCTGCAATTAAAACTGTGCTCAACATTCAACACATTATTATGGCAGCGCTGTGCCATATACTAAGGAGAAGAAGGGGTCTCCAACGTTGTAGAACATAAAAGAAAGCCTACAAAGGGCTGAGAGCCAAAGGATAAGCACTTTTCCAACTGCAGAAACCATTGAGAAGGAAAGAGAACTGGGCTTCCCCTTGTGTTTCTTCTCACTTCAGACATGAGCAGCTCTCCCTCCAGCCGCTTGAAAGTTCCCTCATCTGAGCACTCGGTTTGAAGGGATTCCATAATTATGCTAAATGTGAAGGAGGAGGCTGAGAATGATGAAGTGTTAAGTTTTAGGTCACATATTTCAATTCTGTTGAAAGCGTTGTAGGGATAAAGCTCTCCAGTTTCCTCAGGGGAAGACACAGCATCTCCAGTGACCTCTGAAATGGACTGAGCCACAGTGTCATTCCAAATCCAGAGTCTTCCCATCTCAGCACGCAGCCTGTCCCTCTGCTGAGTTACTGTGAGATAAATAGCTGTTCCTAAACACTTTTCTTCATCTGACTGAAAATAGAAGAAGGAGCAACTGCAAAATAAGCAATGAAACCTGCCTTAAGAAATCAAGATTCTGTTTCACGTACCTTCCCAAAAAACTGTCAAGACAGGCTTGAAGGCAGGAGCAAACCTTCGGAGTACAAGGGATCTAAATGGCTGTTAGGGAGGGAGCTTAGGGAGGCAGCCCTCTAATGCCAAGTGCAGTGATGCAGAAGCAAATGTTTCATCATAACGATGAAAAAAACAAATGAAAGACAGGGAAATGAATTCCCACATTAGCAAATTGCCTACTGGGTAATTTTTCTGGCACAATCAGGAATCTGCTGTCTGAGAATCCATAGGAACAAAGGCCTAACTTGGGTGAAATTTCTGCCTCAATTCAAATCTTTCTTTGCACATATTAGGAGCTGTTGGCCAAAGTCTTTAGCCAATTGCAATGTTAATGTAAAAGTGGCGCATCTCTGACAGTTCAAATTGGCCAGCAGCTGCTTGGCAGAGAGATGGGCCATGTCCTCCCATTGTGATGAACAGCTTTGAAAATGCTTGGGGATTAGTGGTGTCAGGTATACATTTGTTCCCACTCCCCAGAAATTGAGTTTTTGAGATGAGGCTGCATCTATTTGCTATGAACCCTTCTGCTTTGCTTCTCAGCTTCCTTATAAACAAAATAGGGATTCAATTAGCTTCCATATAGAATCTGTGTGAAAATGAAATGAGTTAATATACCCAAACCACTTTAGCTGAATGTGGAGCCACAAAATGACCAGAAAAGCACTTGTCAAAAATCTAGTTACTACTATTAATAAAAAGGACATGTCATAGCCCATAGCGAATAAACGACTCTGCATAGTTATTGTAATCATAGTCACATGACGATTTTGGTACTATACTTCAGGCACAGTATTAATTACATGTTGTTTTCTAATTCTTTAATAAAGAAAACAAATTACCAGGCGGTTTCTTAAATGAACAAAATCGGCCATCTAACTACCTTTTATTGGAAAATCATGCACGAAAAAAACACCTGTCATTTAGTTTTTTTTTCAAAACCTAAAAAAATTCTTCAATTTTCTTTTATACTTTCCCAACTGTATGAAATTATCAGGTAGAATATCTTGTCTGATAATGCTCATGGAAGGCGTTGACTTTTACAGATGAGATAAAATTGTAACCAGATATTTCTTGTATCCTGTGGTCTTCATCTTCTTTCAAATTAATAATTAAAGAAAACATTCTAATTCAGTAGTATGAAGAGGTGGCTTTCTAAAAGTACTTTAAGGTACAATTAAATTTTTTTGGGTGCTGACAGACTCAATACAAGAAAGAGTATGACTATTCTTGATTTCAACATTTTCTTTTTTTGGGTATTTTTATTCTAATGGGAAGATGTTAAAACGCAGTTTAAAGTGTGCCCTTAATTTAATTCTAGAAAGTAAAGACTTCCCACTCAGATTGAAGTACTTATGTCAATAGGAAGTTCTGTTTATAGGGGCAATTGTTTTCAGTGCAAAGCCAGATTGTCTACAGGGCATTTGTCTCTGCCTACTATAAAGTTGGACCACTAGGGTACTATTTGGAAGGTCCAGGTTCACTGGGCTTTATATGTTAAAGTCCTGCTGATAAGTGTTATTACTGGAGACCACTAAATAGTGTCCTCTTGACTTGAAGGAGTTAATATAGTTCCCTAAGTGCCTCATTAAAGAGCCCACTCCAGACTTCC